AGTTCGGAACATTACACCCAAACGTTCCAGCGACACAAGATCAATGCAGAAAAAAAAAAGCTGTTATCACATCAGGTGGCACGCACGAACCCTACAACACTCTATTTACATTATACGAACTTCAAATGGCCCTTCTTTGTTCCAAACAAACTGCCCCTGGACCAGATGGTATTCATTATAAAATGCTCGAACATCTTCATCCATCCACTATGAAGCTAATTTTGTACCTTTTTAATAGAGTTTGGCTCGAGGGCCACTTTCCATCCTCCTGGAAGACTGCTGTGGTTGTACCAGTGCTGAAGCCCGGCAAAGATCCCTCTTGTGCATCTAGCTACAGACTAATAGCTCTAACTAGCTGTCTTTCCAAGACATTAGAAAGGATGATTAACAAGAGACTCATGTTTTTTCTAGAACGAAACAACTGCTTTGACAAGTTCCAGTGTGGCTTTCGTTCAGCACGGTGTACTGTCGATCATCTCGTCCGCTTTGAGACCTTCGTACGTGAGGCGTTTGTCAACAGGCAACAGTGTCTCTCCATCTTCTTTGATTTGGAAAAGGCATACGACACAGTCTGGCGTTACGGCATTCTGCAAGATTTATTCGATCTTGGTTTCCGTGGCCGAATGTTGAGTGCCATACAGAGTTACCTGCTGCACCGTACGTTCCGCGTGAGGCTGGGAAAAACTCTCTCTAGGGAGTTTTTACAGGAGAATGGAGTCCCTTAGGGGGGTGTACTGAGTGTCACTCTTTTTATCGTCCAACTTAATTCCATTGGCCGTGTAATTCCTCCTTCGTCATACTAACATATGCTCGAATTACTACATTGACAATACTGCTCTCCAGTCTGTGTCCTCTTACAAATACTTAGGTGTCTACATAACTTCCGATCTTTCCTGGGAAACTCACACTGACTACGTAACTAACAACGCCAATCGCATGCTTGGATATCTCAAACGAAATTTTTCACAGTCACCAGTGTCACTAAAACTCCTTTTATATACTACTTTAGTACGTACTAAACTTGAATATGCATGTTCTATCTGGGACCCCGGTCATAACACTATCATTGCCACATTGGAATCAGTTCAAAATCGTGCAGCGCGTTTTATACTCTGTAATTACCATTATACATCCAGTGTTACTTCAATGAAAAATAGCCTTGGTTTACCCACACTAATGAACCGTAGATGCATTTCTCGCCTTATTTTATTTCATAAAATTTACCATAATAACCCTTTCATGCGCCGTGAACTTCTAACGCCACCTACTTATGTTTAATCCCGCGTAGATCACCAGTACAAAGTCGGTATCCCCAATTACAAAACTAACTTATTACAACTCCTTTGTTCCTCGCACTAGCCATGATTGGAATCGCCTTTCCGCTGACATAGCCTCCATAACCAATATTATTGATTTTAAAATTGCCTTGTTTGTTCATTTTGATTAACCATTTTCTAGTTGGTATTACTGTTATAACATTGTGTAAATATTTTTGAAGTGTCCGAGCAAGCGTGCATTAATTACTGTATTATATTTTATGTATCAACAACTGTACCCTTGTCACCTAATTCCCCCCCCCCCCCCCCCCTCCTCTCTGTAATACCCTTCGGGGCCTTGAGGGTAAATAAATAAATAAATAAATATTCTTTATATGTTGATGATCTCCAGATCTCCGTTTCATCCTGTAATCTCTCAATTTGTGAACGTCGCGTTCAACTTGCGGTCAATAATTTGGTCAGATGGGCCGATACGAATGGGTTTAAATTTTCTCCCGAAAAAAACAGCTTGTGTCAACTTTTCTCGTCGACGTGGTGCTCTTCAGGAACCGTCTTTGAACATGTATGGTTCTCCTATTGTTGTAAAAAATTAGCACAAGTTTTTGGGCCTTGTGTTCGATTCCAAGTTGACTTTCGTTCCACACATTAAGAGATTAAAACTCAAGTGCCTTAAATCTCTAAACATCCTTAAGGTCTTGTCAAATGCATCATGGGGCTCTGACCGACTGTGTCTGCTGCGTATCTATCACTCAGTCATTCGCTCCCAGCTTGATTATGGTTGTATTGTCTATAACTCTGCTCGGGCATCAGTTCTAAAGATGTTAGATCCTATTCATCATCAAGGACTCCGACTGGCTACTGGTGCATTTCGTACCTCCCCAGTGCTTAGCCTTTACGCGGAAGCAAACGCAAAGTCCCTTGAGTATAGGAGGTTTTCCCTGGGTTTTATGTACTCTGTCAGGGTTCGCTCAGTCGCGGAGCACACCGTTCGAGATAATATTGAGACGATCAAGTTCCAACGCACATTTGGGAGTATGCCAGTTTTTATACAGACGGGACAAAAAAAGACTCCGTAGTAGGCTGTGCTATGGTGGGACCATCGGTAAATCAGGTGAAGAGAATAAATTCAAAAGTTTCTATACTAACAGCAGAGCTTTATGGTTTGTTGTTAGCTATTGATTACATAATCAAAAAACGCCTTTCTCACGCTGTAATCTACATCGACTCTTTAAGCTCTCTGAAGGCTGTCGCATCAATGAACCGTGTAAAAAACCCACTGGTTTCCGAGTTAAAGTACAAGATAATCCTGGCTGCAACGAAAAATTTTGACATAGTCTCATGCTGGGTTCCTAGCCATGTTGGCATTCCTGGAAATGAAGCAGCTGATAGTGCAGCCAGCTCCTGGTAATGATAGAGAAATCGACACACACCAAATACCCTACAAAGATTACCACAATTCTCTGAAACGTTGCATCAAAGCAAAGTGGCAGCTGCAGTGGAACGGCGAAACCGGCAACAAACTACATGCAATCAAACCTCTTCTAGGCGAGTGGGAGAGCGCCCGACATCGGGGGCGCTTTTATGAAGTCTTACTGTGTAGGTTACGAATCGGTCATACTCGTCTTACACATGGACACCTGAGCGGGGAGGATGCCCCTAAATGTGTGCACTGTAACCTACCTCTAAGTATTATGCACATACTCATTGACTGCCCATGTATGACCAATGCCGGTATAAACCTACTCACTGCTTTATAAAGAACACATTCCACTACACCTTGCCCTACTACTAGGTGACGAACCGCTCATTCCATACAGTTGTGTTTTTAATTTCCTCACAGATATCGGCCTTCTACACCGACTGTGATTTTACTTTCTATCCTAAATTCATTGTCATATTGTTTACACTTATACACATTCATGTTCATGGTTTTATCATATATTTCGCTACTATAGCTCTTTCCTCTTCTTAAACCCGAATTGCAATAATCTAAGCTTGGCGCAATATAGCCTTAGTTGCTGATGCGCCATAAACCCCCAATCAACCAACCAACTTCCATAGAGGTACTTGTGGAACCGTTTTACTCCGAAGATAATCGAGACCGCTTCCTTCTCTATATGGGCGTACGAGCTTTCAGCTTTACTCAGGGTGCGCGATGCGTACGCGATTTACTTTACCTCTCCGTTTATTACGTGAAACAAAACCGCTCCTACCCTGTACGGGGAGGCATCGCATACAATCCCCAGCGGTTTCGCCGGGTCGTAGAAGGTCAACACTCTGTCCTGAGTCAGCAACGTCTTGCTTTCGTTGAACGCTCTTTCGGCTTGCTCAGACCACAGCCGTTTCTTATTTTTCTGAGTTAGTTCGTACAATGGCTTGAGCATCGAAGACATGTTTGGCATAAATCTTGAGTAGAAAGTTAACATTCCTAAGTAGGCTTTAGCTCAGTGCTGTTTTTTGCTGCAGGCGCTTTTTTTATCGCCTCGATCTTTTCTGCGCATGCGTGCACTCCTCTTTCGTCAATTACATGGCCTAAATATCTTACTGATGGTGCGAAAAACATGCATTTTTCTCTTCTCACCCGTACGCCATGCTCCATGAACTTCTGCAGGACTGCTTCCACTCGATGCCGGCATTTCTGGTAGGTTGCCCCGGTGATGAGTACATTGTCAAGATAGCAGACCACGCCCGGTAGCCCCTTCAGTAGTTCGTCCATGATTGCCTGAAACACTGCAGGGGTACTTGAAATTCCATAGGGCATTCGGACGTACTGGTATAACCCCATTTGGGTGTTCACCGTCAGTAAAGGTTGCGACTCGGGGTGCAGTTCTATTTGTTGGTACGCTGTCGAAAGATCCAACACTGTGAATACCTTCCCTCCGGCTAGTACTGTAATTAAGTCTTCGACAGTCGGGAGAGGGTAGTGATCAGTCTTTGTGCATGGATTTACTGTCACTTTATATCTGGCCTTGTTGTCTGGCTTAGGAACAACCACCAATGGTGTGGCCCAGTCGCTCTGCGTGACAGATACCAAAACGCCGTCAGCTACTAACTTGTTTAACTCAAGTTCCACCGCTTTACGAAGGGCGTAAGGCACAGGCCGTGCCTTGCAAAACACTAGTAGACATCCACCTTTAAGAACGAGCTTCGCTTGGTGGCCTTTTATCAGCCCCAGACCGGAAGAAAACACGCTCTCGTACCTTTTCGTGATGCTCTCCGGTGTGGGCTCTGACTGCACTCTCTGAACCATCTGGATTCGCGTCAAGTCGACGCCAAGGCTGTCAATTCAGTCTCTTCCTAATAACGCTGGTTCGCCTCCGGTTGCCACGATGATCGGAAGTACCTTGCACTTCCCGTTGAAATCCACCGAGACTTCCGCTTGTCCCTGAACTTGGAGTGGTGCTGCCCCGTACGTCCTGACTCTCACTGCGCATTTTCTGAGGGGCGGAGGCTTTGCGAGCTGCTTGAACGCGTTTTCTGATATGAGTGAGACAGCCGCTCCGGTATCGACTTGCATCTTCACCGCTTGTTTTTCTAGTCGGACTTCCACTTCAAACGGCGGATTTTCAGGATTCACATGATACACGTTGTATAGTTGCAGTTCCGGATTGTTGTCTTCTTGCTCACTCAGGTTGTGAACAGCTCCATCAGTCGATTGCTTTGCTCGGCATGCTCGCGCCAGATGCCCGAACCGCGTGCACTGATAGCACTTTGCCCTCCGGAAACGGCACAAAGCTGCGTAATGGTCTTCGCCACATCGAGTGCATTTCTTCTTAGGTGCGCTTGACGTTTCGCTTACCGAAGCTGGACGTCCGCTGGCTTTCTTGATAGCGTGCACGTTAGGGTCCGACGCTGAGGTCGGCTGAAACCCCCGCGATTCTCGTTCGGCCAGCTCGACACTCTTTGCAAAATCACACGCCAAGTCGAATGTGAGTTCTTTTTTCTTGAGCAGTCCTTTTTGGATGGCCGGGTTCCGCAACCCTGCGACAAAACGGTCTCGCAGTGCGTCGTCGAGAAATCTTCGAAACTCGCACCTTGTGGCCATGTGCTTCAACTCCACCGCAAACTTAGCGACTGACTCTCCTTCCAATTGGTACCGGCGGTCGAACTTGAAGCGTTCCGCTATGATTTGGCTTGTCGGCTTGTAGTGGTCGCTGAGTACCTTCACCAAATCTGCGTACGTCTTCTCTTCCGGTTTCGCAGGTAGAAGAAGGTCTTTTAGCGTCTTGTAGGATTTTTTTTCCGATGGCTGTGATGAACGCCGACTTCTTAAGTGCCTCGCCTTCCACCTTGGCTATGGCTACCGTGCAGTAGTGTCCGAATCTTTCCACGTAAGAACTGAAGTCTTCGTCCCCATCTTCCAGGAAGGCGTCGCATTCCCACATCTTAGCCATCTTTGAAGCTTCGACCGTGGAAGGAACCGCCCCTGTGCGTCGACTTTTGCCGTCCCATTTTCGTCGCCACTTGTTATGACTGAGTGAGGCAGGCGAGCAGTCGTACGTGCTGACACGTTTATTCTGCTTGTCTCGGCTGGCTTGCCGATAACTATATATCGATAAGGCCTACAGTGACGTCACTACGTCCTAGGCGCTTATTGGCTACTACACAGGCCATCCTGGAACTTGGAAAACAGAATGCCGTGGTTGTAGCCGTGATCAGTGATGGCGCCAAAACAAACAAAGCAATGTGGTCGAAGTTTGGGATATCTGGAAATCTAGACTGTCCACGTCACAAAGTGCCTCATCCATGAGACCATCACCTCACCTTGTACTTTCTCTGTGACACTCCCCACCTTATAAAGTGCATTCGAAATCACCTTCACCGTCATCGGTACGGCATGGTGAGCAAGGTTTTATAGCCTCCTCGCTTTTTCCATCTGCACCTAGCTGCGTTAGTCAAAGATGATTTACCATATTGTGAAATATGCAGATCGGAGAGCACAAAATCGACTTCAAGCACTACAAGCTCCTTTACGAGGCAGACGGCGGGCATCTAGGGTGCCTACATGTTCCCGCCGCTCCGCTGTTTAAGGTGGCGACAACGTTTGTGATACCTGTTGCCGACAAACCAGTGTTGCCTACCTCGTTACCATGGCAGCCTCCGCTGTTTCGTCGACCATTTTGTCACACTCGCCAGTCGTGCGCTCGCGCTACTCCGCTAATCCTCGTTAGGGCTGGGCAGCGCTCACCGCTCTCGTTCCGACGGCGAGGTTTCGGCGTGCGATGCCGGTCTGTTGCGTTCCATTTTGTCGAGGGGACTCACGTTTCGATAAACGCAACGCATACTTCCTGCTCGCAACTTCAAAGTATGAAACACCCGAATAAAGAGAGCGACAGCCACGACGACCGCCATCCCGCTGAGCCTCCGACTCGTCCGACTCCTCTTATGAACGGAAACGGAAGTGGCCTCACAATGTTGCCGGTGTGTCGAAACTACGAAAACTCAACGTTGTGTACGTTTAGCCAAATAAGAAGTGGGTCAAAATGGCGGTGGGAGAGGATCTGGGAAAGGGTAACAAGAAGTTGGCGCCACCCTAAAGCGGAGCGGAAACATTTAGGCACCCTACGGGCATCAAGTACGAGCCGTGCCCAAGCTTACCAAGGAGCACGTGGACCCCGACAACTTAAGAAAAATGAATGTCAGGCTGGCAGTTCAGGTAATTGTGTTGGATAGCGGCTCCAATACAAGATATGGTGATGCGATTGGTCCGAGCAATTTTAGAGCGCCCTGTGGAGCAGCTAAAACTCCATTTTAGTTTAGTAAAAGTAACTTTCGGAGCATGAGCATGTACTTCATTCTCATCATATTTAATGTGAATAATATGTTAAGATGTATATGGCAGCTTGTGGAGGTGAAGGTAATGCCTTCTTTGTTTAGCATGAAAGCACTTAACTGCTATAGCAGTGATTTGTTTGGTCCGAGTGTTTTGGAGCAGCAAAAAGAATGTTTGGAGCACACTTTGTTTTCATATATAACACTGCAAATATTACATTAAAATTCATACGGTGACCTGTTCAACTTGGCAGTGTCTACTTTGCCTTCTCACTTCTGTTCAACCGTTTGTTACCATTGATTGCACAGCATGATCGATTCCCTCAAACACAACTAGCCAATTAGTTGCATGTACAAGCACCAGACACGGTAATAATACGACCAACGAAGGACAGCACAAACCGAAGTGAATGGTTATTTTAGGCACCAAATCCCAGTGAAATAAGGCTGGAATACAATCATTTTCAGTACCTAAATTTGTTTCCTTCATGTTCCAGAGGTTCTAATAAAACTGCAATTCTTGAATCGTAAAACAAGAGCTCGTCATATGATAATGAATAGTTGATTACACTTTAGATCTAGAACTTAATAGCGAAAACTGACTTGTGAACAATTAATATGCCTTCTTAAAAACAATTCCACCAAACTCACTGAGGTTCTTCCCAAGCTTGCATCTGCTACTTCTGCTAATTTAGTTATAATTTACTCACACCTTTATAAATGTGACAACTAAACAAGAATGTTGACATAAAGCAGAAACCTAAAGAAGAGTTTATAAAAATCCTTTTGCAACACCAAAGTATCCTTGTTAAATCTAGAATTGGAAAAAGATATTGCTAGGATAACGCAGTTATGTGCCATTGGAAGCTTGCCAAAATTATGTTCATATGCATGCTGCACATGCTTACACACAAGGGGCGTCAGCCGGACGCCATACTTGTAATTCTCTGTACAAAGTCAAATTTTAATAAGAAATTGGTGCCGTCTCGCTTTAAGAAGAATGCCTTCCCCTTCGTACGCAGGTGCGATGCGGTGAAGCAAGACACGCAAGATCGTGATTTCTACTCCGTGGTTGTCGCTTCGCCGTAATACACCATTGTTCGGCGAGAAGAGCAGTCAACGAAACTAACTAACCCGTTAGAACCGAACACGAACACGAGAAATACTGCAGAACTTCCGAGTGTTGTTAATGTTTCATGCAAAATCAGACAGAATAGTATGTTATTTGGTGCTATAACCTAAAGTCCTGAAAAATTGCACAATACTATCATAACAATCCGGCCAAGTTGCAAGGCCCAAGTATTCAGTTGAAATTAAGGCTTGAGACAATGTTGGCACGAATTCCTCAGAATTTGGCAAAATGTAGTAGGGTAAGTATTTTAGCGCAGCAATCACATCACTGCTATAGTCACTAACAAGAGGAGGGCAGGGCATCTCTCAAACGTCCAGCCTCCAGCGCACACCCGGTGTCTTCTGGCGTGTCTTGGTAGCGCATGCAAGCGCCAGGCACACAAGACGCCGAACCGTTGCTGAATGTAGAAAACTAGCACTGGAAGCGGGGCAACTGTTCACCATGAAGCTCCTCCTTGGTGTTCTCACTAGTCTAATGCTATTGGCGTTCATTGGGATGAAAAACACACAAGCTCCTTTGCAGCAGTTGCTTTTCAAACGCATGGTAACTGGTCAAAGACGGAGCATGAACATCCGTGATTGGTTAGTTTAGATATGGAATCAAAGTCAAACTAAACAGTATTACACTGGAATTATTTTCAGTACAAAATTCAATCTTTTGCTGTAATAATCTTTATTTCCAGACATACATGTGTCCGAGGGGCTGCAGCAAAAGACAGAAGTCTTCTGACGAGGCCATCAGCCCCTTTTTACAGTAGTCAACAGTGTGCAGGTTCAGCGTGAGCATAAAAAAATATACAAAAATAATCAAATTGTCATTAGCTAAGCATCGTAATCACAATAACATCAACGTCATCAATAGTATAAATTCAAAATCAAACACATCATTCAAGTTCTGAAGGTTGCAATGAAATTAACTACAGTTCCTAATTCTGTTAAAATAAGAAAGCTTTATATTTAATTATGAATGTCAATGACACCTACCAGAGTCTTGTGATTATGCAAAATGAGCAAGTGGGTATTAGATAGATACCTTCAAGGTCCAGCTGAACTCGTCAAGGTTATTCAAAATACCTTTATACATGCACTGCTAAAGCTTGTTTAGTTTTAATGTAAGCTTTATCGACCACACAACTTCAAACACTTCAAAGCTTATGTAGAGGTGAGAACCATACATAGTATTGACAAAACAAAATGAAGGCTATGGTGCTGCCCAGGTACAGCTCATCACTGTTGTTTAAGGATCATGTTATACCAACTTCCTTGAATCTTCATGTTGACAAACAGAATCAAGAACAAGGATACCCACAACATGTCTGGATATCACAGTCAATATGGACTGGTCGTGATCTCATTTGGAAAATTTAACTGCAAGGCGAGTTTACCAATATTTTTCAGACTTTTTTTTTAATTTTTCAAAAGAGAATTGGGTAATGTGTATGTTTATACAGCCTAGAACTTTGTCTGCCTCAACGGGCGACTTGTCTCCCAGCTGTAGATGAGCAATTTAGCCAGTGCAGTACAACCGCTAGCCTGGGGTCTTTAACGTGCACCACGCAGTAGGGATACACGATCGCACGCCGGTACGATGCTCATCCAGATCGAAGCGGGCGGGGGTGAGGATTGAGCTTTCGCTCCACGTGCTCCAAGCTGGTGTGCGCTAGCCCACTCGACCACTGATCCCCCCTTTTAATTTTTCATCTGTGCACCATGGCAGTCTGGAGGGCAAGCTTTTTTCCTTAGCACATATCTGCAACGTGGCAAAGCGAGGCATGCAAAATCGCAATGTTCAGATCGTGGGTGTCTATCCGCAGTGTGCGATGAGAAGCTCACTCAAAGAAGCTAGGTAACACGGCCAAATATAGAAGCAATGAGATGTATTACTGAACACAGGAGTATCGTCAGTATTTTATACAAAAATAAAATAAATTATTGCAGTATTCTAAACAATATTCTAAAGTTTCAAAAATTCGCTCAAGCCGATGGCAAGGATCTGGCAGTGCAGCCGAGCCTGAGCTATTAGTTTCAGTATTGAGAAAGAAAAATAAACTTGCGGCACAAAGCATGCTTTTGGGTTTGCATTTTGGCTCTGCAGTGGAAAGTACAGGGGCAGGCACATAATGCTGCATGCCTGCACGAGCAGGGCATGTATTTAGCTCTAATTCAGTCACACCTTCAGTCATTTCAGGCAGGAGTTAGCCATAAAAAATTATGCTTGTACTCACTCCAATAAAGCAACCTATGCTCATGCAGTAAGAAGCAAACGCGCATATACGAGATTCATTGAAGTTTCATCTGATTCTTATCTTGTGCTCAGCTCTTCAGTCGGACCACTGCTTTAGGCCTGAGCATGCACTTCCTTTCAAATACCCCGGTTTTGAGGAATGTGCTGGAACAACACACTTCACTGCCCTTGTGAACGACCTCTTCGATGTCCTGAATGCTAAACATCCTGCACGTGGTGTAAAGGAAGGCTCAGAGGAGAGAATGG